ATGGTGAGTCATCATGGTTTAATGGTTAAACACAAGAATTCGGGAGCTAGATTTAGTACTGGTAAGGTATTTAAACTTTCTGTGTGCTACATAGGGTTGTTACAGAAATCAAATTTAGTTAATATATTTAGATCACTTATAATAGTTTTTGGTGGTGTAGTGGTTAAGCGCTACAGCTGCTAACCAAAACGTCGGCAGTTCAAATCCACCAGGCACTCCTTGGAAGCTCTATGGGGCAGTTCTCCTCTGTCCTATAGGGTTGCTATGAGTCGGAATTGACTCGACAGCAATGGGTTTTTTGGAGTATGATAGTTTCTGGCACATAATGGCTTTCGATTTTTTGTTAAATAAAACCTGACTTCTTCTAATGAAACTTGAACTTAGAGAAACTATATGATGTGTTAACCAGTGCATTCTTCTTTATTAGATACATTTCATATATGGCAGACCTGGGACAAAAGATTGGGTAAAATTTAGAGCACTTTTATCAGAGCTTATCAGATTGCATCTCATAGGAGTTTCCTTTTTTTCTCTCCCAGGAAAGGATGGAAAAACTAAGCTGGGCAAGAAGACTGTCTTGATTTTTATATTCCACACAGAGTTGGGGAGGAAAAGGAAGAGACAAGAGGTCTTGTCTGCTAGATGTCCCAAACCCCCATTAAGTCTTTACAGAAAAGAAAAAAGTGAATTTCATCCCCAAAAAAAGAAAGGGGTGACTAAATTTCTTCTGTGTGCTTTCTCTTTTGCCACAAATTATTTGTTCCTGGATTTATATTTAAAGTTGCAAGACTGTAGTGGTGCCATGGTTTCATTCTGAGAGTGCTACCATAGCTGTCAATTCATTTAGTCACACACTTCACATTAAACAGAGTTGATGTTTTTGTCTGTGATATTTTGTAAGGTAACCCCATCACAAATAAAAGTTGTTTGTTTTCCTCAAGAGAAAAAGAATATGGAGCCCAAAATCCCCCTCTGGAAGTGAAATACGGAAGGTATTTGCTGCCATACTTGTCTGGCACAGGTTACCAGAGAGTGCTGTATGTTAAAATTCCCAAAACTTGCCAACAAGGTCACCCTCTTCGTGGGAAAGGCAATTGACAAAAAAATCAATGGAAAGCAAATAGATTTAGAGTACCTCTTTATTCACATTTTAGAAGTTCATATATATTTACCAGGTTTGCACAAAAGGAGTTAGACAAATAAACTAAATCACATTAGGAAAAATCACATAAATAGAGGGGAGGGTTCTTAGAAATATCACCATGCTATTTAATAGAATATCTGACTCAAGAAAGCCAGAAAAAATAGCTAGAAATTCAGCTTTATTTTTCCTGTATGTGAGAGATTATATTTTTAAAATGTCAACAATTAGCAATACTGCATTATGAAATGCAATGCCCAGACAGAGATCATATAAAGATTAGCATTCTTTATTTTCTTAGGTTAATATGTTTTGTCTGTTGAGGAAAAACCACTTTCCAAAGATCTCCAAACTTTAAAAATCCAAATTGTGACAGATTCCTTCTCTGGAAAATCTTCTTCGGTTACTTAGTCCTCAAATCATGACTGGGTATTTGGTCTCACAAGTAACAACTATGTCTCAGTAGACATTACCATTTTAAAATTAACAAGGGATATCTTATTAGTAGGAAACAAATTAGATAAAACAACCATAACGTAATAATTCTGGTAATCAAGTTTGCAAGTGTGTGTTTATTTTGATATCCATGTGAAAATATAACCTAATTTGAGAAGAAATTGTCTTATCTACAGATGGGATCAGCTTGCTTGCAACCATAACTTTTCTGAACATCCTGTTGTTATTATTACACTGCTTAACTAAGAATTTCTGAAACATATTTCAGACTGACTGCTGCTTAATTTTATTCCTAGTTACTTATCATAAATAAATTTTCAGAAAGCATTCCCCCTTCAAGTTACTTCACATCCGGGAAAGAAGTATGTAGGAAAAGGAAAGAAGATAGGGCACCTAGGAGATGCAGGGGATGGGGTCCAGTGGTCCAATTTCGTCCCGTTGGCCAGGGTTAGTTAATCAATAATATGGATTCTGTCAAGATACCATATCTTCAAGGGATGAAGGTAAAGAGAATAGGGAATGTATTACTCATTTCTGCCTAAATTATGCTGTGATAGCAAATAATCCCAAAATCTACAGAGCTTTTATCAACAGAGGGTTTCTTTTCGATCCTTTTCGTAGGTTACCTGTGTTGGTGATTGTTTTAGTTATCTAGTGCTGCTATAACAGAAATACTGTGGCTTTAACAAATAGAAATTTATTTTCTCAAAATTCAGGAGGCTAGACGTCTGAATTCAGGGCACCAGCTCTAAGGGAAGGCTTTCTCTCTCTGTTGGCTCTGGTGGAAGGTCCTTGTGTCTTTTCAGCTTCGGTTTCCTGAGTCCTTGGAGATCTCATGTGGCATGGCATCTATTTTATGCCATCCGTGTTTTCTTGCTTGCTTGCTTAATCTGCTTTTATATCTCAAAAAAGATTAACTTAAAACACACTCTACACCAATACTGCCTCATTAACATAACAGAGAAAACGCTATTCCCAATGAGATTGTAATCACAGGTATAGTAGGATTTACAACATGTATTTTGGGGGGACACAATTCAATCCGTAACAGTGCTCCACTTCTTTACCGCAGTCCAGTTTGAAAAGTAACCCTTATCTTGCTATGATAGTCTTCTCCCAGAGAAAGTAGGGAAAAAATAATAATAATAATAAAAGTAGAACCATAAAACTGCTCATAAAGCTCATAAAAATTCTACTCAGCTGTGGCATATTTATTTTCCCCCTGCTGGTAGTATTTTATTCTATTTGCCAAAGATAACAATATGGTAAAACCTGACATCAGTATGGAGAGAAATAGCCTCTTCTCAATGGTTACCAAGGTGGTACCCAGAAGGTAGGATAGCAAATATATGTAAACAAATAATATAGTCTACCACAGAGAGGAGTAGGAAAAAAAGCTAAATTTGCCCCTACTCACTTACATATATCTAATCATCACTACTTACTGATGAGATGGATCTTTTTTAAAAAATCTCCATTTAGAAGTTAAGAAAATTGAGGTACTGAATAGTTTAAGAAAAAATTGTTCAAAGAGAAATAAATCATGCAGATACTCTGACTCCAAACTCACACTTCATATATACCATAGACATCTCAACTATTGTTAAAATGTGCATAATCTTAAATTTTGCTACAAAAGAGGCAACTGGATTATAGCTGGTAGTATTTTCATTTAAAACTACATGATATGTTTTTCTATTTCTTTTTACCTTTTAACTCAGGCAATGAAAACCAAGAAGACAAAACAAAGGCTTCACATCAGTTGCTGTGTTGATGTTTCAACCCACAGTAGAGAAAATATTCTTGTAAGCTGTGATTTCAAAATGCAAAGACAATGATCTAAAGTGAGAACATATTTTTAATTCCAAAATATTGGCAATACTGTAACTGACAAGACTAAACTAACAGGAATACCTCTCAGCAAAGTACAGTGAGGAGAATAGGCAGCAAGTGGACCCGATGCATTTCCCAAAATACCAGGAAGATGTCTAAGCTCTCCCAAGTGTTCAGGCGCCCTGTTTTGTTGTTGTGTCCCATCAAGTCCATTCCAACCCAGTGGCCCTATAGGACACAGTAGAATTGTCCCATAGGGTTTCCTAGGCTGTAATCTTTACAGCAGCAGATCGCTGGGTCTTTTCTACCATGGAGCAGCTGGTGGATTCAAACCAGCAACCTTTCAATTAGTAGCTGCTCTTGGGAGAAGGAATTAACTGGGTGAGAGCTTTCTAAGGTAGTTGTGATAATCAAGTAAGATAATTTATATGCCAGGCACCTAAAAATTATTTAATAAATACTTAAAACACGCAAGAGGATAAGTTATCCTTTACACAGAGATCAAAAGAAAGAAAAAAGAAATATTGAAGGTACAAAGAGAATCTGAGATGGAGAAATAACAAGCTGATAGATTTTCTGATAAAATGGCTTCAGACTTAATGGCAAAGTAGATTCCTTCATGTTATTACATCTCTAGTAATCTTAGTCTGATATGACCACATTCCATTATGGAAATAGAGAGGCTTAACCTCAATTATAGGAACCCAGAGCAGGGCATGGCTGAATGGCAGCTTTAAAGACGATAATAACAACAACAGCAATGATGATGATAGTTAACATATATTGAAGGTTTGCTATGTGTTGGGCCTGTCCTAACAGCTTTATATGTATTCATCCCTTTAGTGCTCATATCAAATCCAGAAATACTTATTATCCCTATTTTTAAATAACAGTTTTAGGGAAAAAGAAACTGAAGCACAGTGAATTTGAATAACTTGGCCAAAGTTGCAAAGCTAGCAAGTAGTTGAGGCAGGGTTCAAAGCCTAGCATTCTGGAATTAAGAATATAGGATTTTACCTCCCTATTAAGAGGGACCTTCAGTAGTACTCAGAGATTTTTCCATAAATACAGACACTGTGGATAAAATAATTTGGAGAAAACAAAATGTAAAATAAAATGTTAATTTTATTAAGTAACTCTGTTATGATAAATATGTAATGTTTGAAGAAAAAAAAACTTTGAAAAAAAAGTGTTGCTGTTTTTGTTGTTTAACTGATTACCTAAAGAATCCTGGAAAGTAAAAGGATAATTATTCACAAATAGCAATGTCTGAAATCTTAGTGTAAGTTTTTTCTTTTGTCTATTTACTCCATAACAGAAAAGGCTTTTGAAGAGTTTGGCAAAATTAGCCTAAATACAGTCAGAGCTGGAGTGACCTAAACAGGAAGCCACGCTCTTCCCAACTACGGGTGATCTCTGAAACAGACTCTGAGGCTCCCTGTTTGCTCCAATAGACAGGAGCGACTTAGCTGTATAATTGTCAAATTCTCAACTTGCCCTTTCACTGCCACCAGGATCAGATTGCATTTCTCGCATTATTCACCACTCCCAGGCTTCTTGATCTGTTTAAGAGAAGAAGTAGAAAAGATACAGCCTCTCTTCAGTGCCTGGAAGGGAAAACAAAATAACTTCAACTCTGTTTTGAAAAAATTCTTTCCAAGAACTTTCTTCAGAGATTTTACTCGTGAGTACTTGGCAATATGCTTTCTAGCTCAGAGAAATAACCTTTATTGCTTTCTTCTGAGGGGCGGGCGTAGGGATGGGGTGGGTGAAAGCAGGGTGCCAAGAGGCAAAGACTAGTAAGGGAAGACCACTATCCCTCTAAAATGAGAATCAATAGTGCCCTGTAAACAAAGCAAACTTACACTGTAATGCAAAATTAAGTTCTCAGCATTTTGCATTTAATTCTTAAACAAAGAATCAGATTTGTGATTATGCTTATAAGACCATGAACAGTTTTTTAAGAAAATGATGAAATATACCCTTTTTTTTTTAATTTTAAGGTTGCAGTAACAATTACTCACTAATTGTGTCTGTTGATTGAAGTTTTTTTTGAAGAGTTGGCTTACCTTTAACTTTTATTTAGTAGTATATAAAGAAATATAATAAAGAGACCATCTAATAGCTATATGTTAGAAGAAATTTTTTTATTGCCATTAGTCAGTGACATTTAAAATGAAGTATAAACATTAGAGTTCTTTTAATCTAAATTAAAATCTTTAGGCCAGTATTATCTAACCTCTCTAGAGAAATATTTTAAAAGTCTCCAAAGACAAGTAAAAAGTAAAAAGACAAATGGTCAAACTCCTCTGTAGTACAATTATGTAAATTTAAGCCATAGATTCCATACTTACATGATATGCTGTCTGTCCTGGTTGCTCATGACACAATATTAATCATTGCTTCTGGTAGCAAAGGAGAGCCCATAATGTAATAGTGCACAATGATAGAACTATGATGAGACAAACATTTGTTTAATTATGAGAAAAGCTCATTTATATAAAAGAATTTCAAAAAAGCAAGGGCCAAGAACCAGTGCCATGTGTAAAAAAAAGAAAAGATAAGCAACAGCTACACTGTGACTCAGTGCTCTGGAAATTAGTCACAAAATGACTTTGTATAATACGTGATAACAAACAAAAAGGGCAGAACCCAAGCAGGAAACTAGAGCCCAGAGAGTCATGTTTCATGTGTATAACATACTGTTTATGTAAGAGGAAAAAGCCTGGGAAAATTTTGAGAAATTGTGAAGCTAACAAAATCCTTTTGTGGGAAATTTTCAGGATTCTTTTAAATTCATCATTCTACTGCATGATTATTTCAAGGCATACTACCCATACCACATCTAACCCTTAAACTAAAGAGTGAATAGTGTCTTTGAAAATTTATTGGAATAAGAAAGTTTAATTCAGGGCCTATTGTTGTTGTTAGGTGCCATGGAGCCGGTTCTGACTCATAGTGACCCTATGTACAACAGAACCAAACACTGCCTGGTCCTGTGCCATCTTCACAGTCGTTGCTATGTTTGAGCCCATTGTTGGAGCCACTGTGCCAGCCCATCTCATTGAGGGTCTTCTTCTCTTTCACTGACCTTCTACTTTACCAAGCATGATGTCCTTCTCTGGGCACTGGTCCTTCCTGATAACATGTCCAAAGTATGTGAGATCAAGTCTCGCCACCTCACTTCTAAGGAGCATTCTGGCTGTACTTCTTCCAAGACAGATTTGTTTGTTCTTCTGGCAGTCCATAGTATATTCCATATTCTTCTCCAATACCATAATTCAAAAGCATCAGTTCTTCTTTGGTCTTCCTTATTCATTGTCCAGCTTTCACATGCATATGAGGTGATTGAAAATACAGGTTAATAAAATTATAGACTTATTTATAGGCATCAACAGAGACTGAAAAATATTAATGTAAATACAGACAATTAACAATATAGACTTAAGGTACAATTTTAAATATTTGTGTTTAGTAATTGGAATGGTTATATTGGGGAACCAAATTAGTCATCTTCAGGTGACCATAGAATCTTGTTGGGAACGTTAATGACCTAAAACACTACTATTTAATTCTGTATTAGGCATGATGAATTGGACAAGTTTTTTGTTGTTGTTGTTTCGTTTTGTTTTTTAAGGTATCAATCTGATTATCAATAAATCACTTGTTTTACTGCCAATGCTTAGATGAAAACCCCTTTTGAAATATGGATCCTAGTCAAGTTGTTTGTGTTATTAATTGGTATTTGCTCAACTGATTATCAGTAACTCTATGCCTCGTATACTTGTTGAGTGTACAACTAATTCAATGAGAATTTTCTATTATAAAGTAATAAATTGTAAATTTTTTAAAATATATGAAATGGAAAATTGGTTTTTATATTAAACTACTCTTTCCACAACATTAATTTACTCCTTCCTCAAGAATTAAATTTTTAACCTTGGTTATCTACACTGTTCAAATTCAAGAGATAAGTAGGCAGGATGGCAAACTACTGGTGGAAAAAGGCCATGCTCAAAAGTCTTCATTTATTCCAGTACTAATCAAATAATAAATGTCTTTTAGATTCTTTAAGGCTGATTGATTTATTGAATTTAGTGTCACAAATTTTTAAGACAGATTTCAACTGGCATCTCTACATAATGAAGAAAAAATACAAAGTATCCTTACCAAAAAAAAGGCAAAGACAATATGAAAAATAAAAGGAAACAGCAATTTCAAAAAATCCTATTTCAGTATGTATTAGTATATTAAGATGATTAAAATGGGTTAATTATATCACCAATTTATTTTACTATGATCTATGAATTTATTACAATCCAACTCATCTATTCTCAATAAAGGTAGTCTTCAGGACCATTTTGGTTGTTGTTGCTTTGTTTACCATCTAAAGCATTTAACTTATTTGGGATATTTACCTTAAGGGGTTGCCGTTTTATTAAAAAAGAAAAATTTTAAATATGTTAACATCATGAGACTGTTTATAAAAATATAGCAGTGCTGTAATTCTTGCTGATTGTTACCATCTTCATTAAGAGAAATCTGTAGACATGAAATGACTTAAAATTCTTGTTTCTGGAATCTCAACAATATGAGTAAAAAGTGCAAGTTTATTCCAGAGAGTTCATTTCATGCTCGGGCATCTTTCTTGATTCTCTGAGATTCTCAGACTGTTTTCTTGGTGTGATATATCATATCCAGGGGCCCAATCTTCCAACTACCCTTTTCTGGATGTCTTTACTTCTCTAAGTGGCAGGTACCATGTAGAACCAGTACCTAAGATTCAACTACCAAAGGGCTGAGGACTACCTAGTCAACTCCACCTTTATTCTTTTCAAAACCAACAATAACAAAAATACTGGGCCCATATCATATTTGCTGTTTCATCTCTCTTTGGGCCTCACTTTGGGATTCTACATTCCCTCTTAGTTGGGATAAGCACATTTTAAAATTATTTTTTAAATAAAAGAATAAAAGGTCAGTATCATCCATAACAGAAATCCCAATGCCGCAATACTTCTATCCCAATTGTCCCATCTGGTGGGCCACAAATCTCTGGGGAGACTTAGAATGTTTGCAAGGAATTCTCCAATCAAAATGTGATGGTAACATTCTCTCTTGGACAAATAGACATATTTGTTGATTAGGGCAATTTCAACATCAGTGGTGTGAAAGTATCCAACAATATGACAGTGATAAATGTAAATAACATTTTTTATTACTATGTGTAGTGTGCTGACACTCTTAATCAGTACCACACCCTCAGGGCGTCCCCACCACCAGCCTCATTGTATATCACCTCCTGTTCTTTTGGCTTCATTGATTTTTCTCTATTGTTTTCCTATTTCATTAATTTCCATCCTAATTTTTATTATTTTCATTCTTCTGCTTCCTTTGTGTTTCACTTTCTCTCCCTCTTCTAGTTCCTTAAGATAAAACAAGAAGTCATTGATCTGAGACCTTTTATTTTTCTCTAATATAAGCATTTAATGTTATAAACTTATTTCAGCTTTAGCTGTGTTTTGATTATCTGTATTTTCATTTTCATTCATTTCAAAATATTTTCTAATTTTGCTTGTCATTTCAACATTGACTCATGGGTTATTTGTTGTTGTCGTTAGCTGCCTTTAGTTCGATTCCAACACATGGTAACCCCATGTGTGCAGAGTAGAACTGTTCCATAAGGTTTTCAAGGCTGTGACATTTCAGAAGCAGATCACTAGGCCTGTCTTTGAAGGCACCTCTGGGTGGGTTTGAACTCCCAACCTTTTGGCTAGTAGTTGAGTTCTTAACCATTTGTACCACCCGGAAAACCAATGGGCTATTTTAAAGTTTATTTAGCTTTCAGGTATTTGAGGATTTTCCAAATATCTTTGTTACTTATATCCAATTTAATTTGATTGAGGTCAGGTGACGTATTTTATATAGCTTGAGAAAGTTCTAATGCATTAAGACTTGTTTTATGGGCCTGAATACAGTTTAACTTGGTAAATGTTCTATATATACTTGAAAAGAATGTGTATCATGATATTGTATAATGAACTGTTTTAAAATTGTCAGTTAGATCAAGTTGATACATAGTATTGATCAAATTTTTTAGGTCTTTACTAAATCCTTTTGTCTATTTTTTATTGAATTTTGGGAGATTGTTGTTGAAATTTCTAACTATAATTCTGAATTTGACTATTTCCCCTTCCACTTCTCTCAGTTTTGCTTCATGTGTTTTTAATCTCTGTTATTAAGTGTATAAATACTTAAGATTGTTTTATACTCTTGATGAATTTTACCCTTTATCACTACAAAATGACCCTCTTTATCACTGATAATATCATTTGCTTTAAAATATAATTTGATATTAGTATAGCCATCCCTGGTGGCACAGTGGTTAAGACTGGCCACTAACCAAAAAGTCAACAGTTTGAATCTACTAGCTGCTCTTTGGAAACCATATGAGGCAGCTCGACTCTGTCCTATAGGGTCACCATAAGTAGGAATCGACTCAATGGCAATGGGTTTATAGCCATCCCAAGTTTCTTTAGATTAGTGTAAGCATGGTTTAAAATTTTCCATCTTTGTACATTTAGATTACTTGTCTGTTCATATATAAAGTGGGTTTCTTAGGCAACATATGGTTAAGTATTGTTTTTTGATCCAATCAGCCAACATTTGCCTTTTAATTGGGAT